TTTTTAACTCGAAGATTGCGAAGCAATCGAAGAGTTATAGGAGGGAGATGATGTGTGAGGGGGACTAGTTAATTAGTCACTAATTTTTTTTCTGTAAACATACGGGCATTTAGAAATCTGTAACCAAGATGGGCAGGTGTTTTGATACAGTAATGGCTTTTTAAACACACAAAATGTGATTTTTGAGGTCTGGAAGTTCTTGTATAAGAATCTGTTGATTTCAAAAGTCGTTTTAGGAGATATCGTGTGAATATGGGTCATAAATACAGCATTGCTATTACGATGATTTCAAGGATTATTCCGATCCACGTCGATTAGTGATTTAATGCTCATYGATTCATATAAACTTTATCCTTCGTAAGAGGCTTTATACAGACTTATGTCCAGATTTATTGTCTGAAAATMWTCGAGTTGTGTCGCCATTGGCGGCTTGATTCATATAATGTGCAGCCAATAATGTTTGATGTTTTGGAATTCAACATCTTGAAACATGAAAACATGAATTYCATTGTTATTGCATTCTTACTTTATTCCCTATCATCTTTGTTCCCATAGATATTGCACTGCATACCATAATCATGTATTTTCTTTGTGTTGTAGGAGAGGAAAGTCAGTGACAAGCGTGTAGAGGACCAGAAGACAGTTGATGATCAAATTCTGCCACTTATTTCCAATGTCGCACACATGAAAAAGTATCTCCAAACCCTTTTCAGTCTGCGACATGGCCAATACCCTCATGAAATGAAGTTCTAAGCAGCCAGACACAATAATAAAAAATCTTGTGAATATCTGTGTGTTTTTAGCTAATCAATGTTTGGGTATAGAAGGCTCGGTGTTTAGGTAGAGGTTAACCCGGACACGCACTAGTCTCCTCGCAGCCTTTTTTAGTAGTCGCCGGCTCCCTGTCCCCCGTTCCCAGGGAGCCCGCCACTAAGAACTGCTTCGAGGAGACTAGGCGCATACAAAATCCCGATCGAGCCTATATAAAAAATATACAAAAGACTGAGCCTATGTTTGAGGTGCTGAGTGATCCATCCAAGGGATTAATATCTGGTTGGTACCAAGTCCAGTATGAGTWATTCGTAAATCATTCAATGGAGTTTTCTATAACGACACTGACTAAGTTCACACGGTGAGGTATATCAAACGCTCCAGTGATGGACGAACTTGTGATTCGTGCTACTACTTAAGGCAGGGACCGCGGAGCGTGAATTTGGGGGGGCTAGCGGCGACGAGGTAGTAAGGGGGTTCGGAAATCAACCTCGTCCCCAGGGCCATCTCGGCCGACTCCTTTTCAAGATGGCGGTCGTCGGGGAGATGACCCTGGCGTTGGCTGGAATCACGTGATCAAAACCTCCAAGATTTTTGGAGGTTTTGATCACGTGGCTTATCTATTCAAAATGGCGCTCGAAACGTGAACTCAACGGTTTCACAAACTGGGATAGCTGTGGTGGGTCGGTATTTGCTTTGTTTTGATGATTTATTTGAAAAATGTCCTTCCGTCCTGCCGTCATCGGCAGTGTTGACCCCTAGACCGCCTACGGGAGTAGATCCAGTTCATTCTAGAATTCTTGAGGGATCCGCTCACTGCAGAAATCGGCGAGTAGAAGACTTCTATAACATCGAATGCTATCGCTAAATATATCCGTCAAGTTAAATTTCTTACACGAGTAGTTGGCATCTCAAAACCACGCATTGGACAAGAGAGACATAAGAGGACAACTGACAAGAATTCCAAAGAATATCGTTGCTTTTTAATCGACAAAACGTACCTTAATTAAATTTCGGGAATATTTGAATAAAAACAATGAACGCATCGTAACGGTTAAATCAATAACCGATCAAAGACCTAACGGTTATCCGGACATACCGACAGTGTCGAACACATCCCGACCTATAGACGAACATAAACAGCCAATAATGAGTGATATAAGAAAAGGCATTTTGAATAGCCAATCAGAAAG